CAAGACGGCCAAGATTGTCTCCAAGACGGCTACGATGCCCCGCGATAGCTCAAATGTCTCCAAGGCAGGCCGAGATGCTCCCAAGATGGCCCAATATGGCCCTTCAGATCGCCCAGGCGGCCAATTCGGAAATTCGCCCGGCGCTAGCGCGATTGCGGTGCACCGACTGCGCGGACAGCGAAAGGCAGCACGCAAGACTTTGATTCGGTCGCTGCTCGCACGACGCCTCTCCGGCGCAGTTGCAACCGCCCTAGCGTACTTCGCCAGGCGCGGCTTTGAACTGGACATGCTCGAGCAGCGCCCACAAGGTGCCCAGATCCGTTGCGCCGGCGCCCAGCTCCGCCACGAGCAGGGCCTGGTCGGCTCGGCTGGCCAGAGGTTCGTCGGCGGCTTGTAGCGCGCACGCCCACTGCGAAGGATTTACGCGCGCGGACGCAGGAAGTTTGGGGCGCGCGGGCCCGGGCCCAATCTGCGCAGCGAGACCGGCGGCTTCGCGCCGTTCATCGGCCCCCCCTGGCCTGAAACAGAAATTCTCCAGGCTGGACTTTCTGAGGGGGCGCACTCGATCCACAACGTTACATTTAAAGCTGCTGCGACCAGCCAGATTGCACCCACTGGCCTCCGGCTGCGCGCGCCCGCCGCCGCCCTGGCTTCGACATTTTCCAAGGCGGCGGCGGCGTCTTCAAAAATGACAACGTGTGCCCCGCGGAGGGCCTGAGGCAGCAAGAGCAGTAGCATCGACATGGCTAGCAGCCCTGATTGCGCGCTGCGCTGCCTCTTCGTGCACTGCGCGAGCTCGGCGCAGAGCTAATTTGGAACGGCGGCAGACAGTCTCCACACGCCCGCGTCGCGCGCGAGCAGGAGCGCCCCAAGCGCGCCGCCGTCGGCCCCCATGTCCCGGGAACCGTCGACCCAGGCCATTGCGATCGGTCGAGGTCGCCCAGTAGACACATAATGGCGCAGCGGCTTGTGCAAGAGGGCACCCCACCACCCCAGCGCGGCTTGCAACTCTGCACCCCACCCCCCAGGGTGGCTTGAGACGACTGGCCCGCGCGCGCCCGACTTTAGCGAAAAGACCTGCGCATGCGAAACTAAGCTGGCCGCCGAACCAAACGGCGCCCTTTGCTGCGAATGTCCGCGTTCGCAGCGCATGCGCCGCGCTTTCCTGGAGGCCCTTCCTCCGGGAAGTGGTCAGTTGGAGCCCGGGCCGCTGACAGGCGACGGCCGCGCGCGTGCGTGGCGCGGGCGACGTGTTTGCCGGCTCTTCGCCCTTTTCGCGTTTTAAGGGCACGCCCAGGAGGCCGGCGACCCTTCCGTGGCCGCACGCGGCCCCGGTGGCGCCGAAGCAACTTGATCTGCGCGCGAGAGCGAGGCGCCCTCCGCGCGGCCCGACATCCTCGCCCCAGATCAGACATATAACAAATTACTTTTGATCGGGCCTGATTGCCCACTGACGACACGCTTTCTCGTGGTCGGTTTTGCAGACGCGTGGGCCCCCCTTCGCCCTAATGCGCGAACTCCCTCGCAGCGCGCTCTGCCGCGGCTAGGGCCGCGGGCAGCCCGCCCATTCGCATCCGCGGCGCCCGCGGCACACTGGGGTTCGAGCCCGACCCAGCGCTGTCGCCCATGGGCCGGCGCACATCGTTGGCCGCCTTCCTTTTTGAATTCGCGGGAAGCTGGCAGCTGGCGCGCGCTTCGGACCGGGGGGGTGGCCGCCCTATTCTATGTGCACCGGCCACGGGCCACGCATATTTCCTACTTCCATGTCTGCCAGGGTTTGCCGCAAAACCTCATCTGCGCCTGGTTCGCGGCGTGGGCATTGGGCCCTTTCCGTCAGTGGCCTCACGCCTCTGGGCTGCTCGCCGCAATGTTTCGCCCAGGGCCTCTGGCGGCGGCGCCGAGGTTGCCGGCAGAGCAGCGCGTTGCAGGGCGTCGGGCAACAGCCCTGTGACCTGAAACCCCTCGTCTACGTCGCGGACGACGCCCATGCCCCCATGGCCCGCTGCTACCAGCATCTCTTCGCGCGGGGGCCCGCGGTGCGAGGGCGGCAGCACCGCGTTAACTTCTGGGCTGAGAAGACTGCGCCAGCGTTGCCAGGCTGGGACCAGCTGCGCGGCCGCGCGTCGCCAGGCATCGACTTGCGAAACGACCTCGCGTTCGAAGTCTGGGCAGCCTTCCTCCCACCTGAGCACGCTGAGGACGCCAGCTGGCACAGGCTGGGCCTGGGGCGCGTGGTGCCGCTGCACGGGAGCGCTGGCCACCAAATCCCAGCGGTGCGCAATCTGCGCTGGCGGCTCAGGCGCCGCGCCGCGCGCCGCTGCTGTCGCTGGGGCGCGCGGCAGCTTTGCCTTCGGCCCGCGGATCCCTCGCACGGCGCCAGCCCGCGCGCGGCTTTTGGTCGCCGCGAGGTGCACGCTGGGCTGGCGTGTCTGGTCTTCCTCCAGAGCGAGCGCGTCGATGCACTCGTTCGCTTCTCGATCCGGGAGGGAAGCGACGCAATCCACTACTTGTATGCACGCTGCTGGATGCAAGTCTGGCAGCGGAGCGCGGGCTGGCTCTGGGCTCGGAGCCGCGGCGCTTTGCATGTGCGCGACCAGCGGGGACATCGGCCACCGCCCTCGCGGGCGCCCCGCGATCGGACCAGCTCCATGGTCCGATCCCGATTGGAGGCTCGCAGCTCTCGCAGCCAGGGCCCGGGCCAGTGGGGGCATGGGCCACCGCCCTCACAGGCGCCCACGATCGGACATCTGCTGGGGTCCGACACCGAATGGAGGATCGAAGCTCTCAAAGCCAAGGCCCTTCGGCGCGCTGCTGGCCAGGTTTGCCCCTGCAGGCCCGCCGCCGCCGCCGCCGCGCTCGCGCTGCCGTGGCATGCCGGCAGGCTGTGTCTGGGCGCCCTGAGCGCGCGGTCCACGAGAGCCAGCGGGGAGCCCCTCGCCAGCCGCGCCAGCGGCGCCTAACCAAAGCGCGTACCAGCGCTTCTCGCCGAACCGGCAAGTGCCCGCGTTCGCCACGTGCTTGCACGGCTTGTCGCGTTTCGGTCCTGTCATGCAGGCCGCACCCGCATTCTGCGCCTTCCTCCTTGTGCCACGCTGCCCCAGCTGCTGGCCGGCTTTGCCCTTGCCGTGGCCTTTTGGCTGCTCGGCGTGCGGGGTGGGCGCCTGCCTGTTCCCGCCTCCATCGCCGCGGTGGACGCGCTGCTTTTCCGCGTAGCCCTTTGGGGCCGCTTGAAGCCTCGGAGCCAGCGCCAAGCCCGTCCAGCTCGTTGGTGTCAGGGGGCAGGCTGTTGATTACGTCGCGGTCAATGTGACCGCCGTTGTTCGCTCTGCTGGCGCGCGCCCATTGCTGCCGAAAAAGGTCGTGAGCGTGGCAGAGCTCGCTCGAGCTATCGGCTCTGTACCCGGGCGCCGGGTTCCAGGTCTTGCGCGCTCGTGCCCAAGATCTGGCGTGGTATGTCTCAAGCGGCGTGAGCGTGGACACCCAGCCAGTGAAAGAAGAGCAAGTTCTCCACGGTGTACATCGCGTCCTCGACAACCACGAGGGAGTTGGTTGCGGTTCGTCAAGTGCTGGCACCCTCCATGCGAGGACGCCCCCTGTTGCAGAATGGAGCTGGGCCTGGCACGGCCTGCGCAATGCCGCGAATCGCGATTGGATCTTCGTCGGCGCCGACGGCACAACACAAAAACAAGCAGAAAAGCAAGCAACCGCAGCGGGACCAACCGCGCACGCGCGCCCCCCTCCTTGCAGCGATGCGCAACCAATCCAGCTCCGCCGCGCGCTCTCTTCTCGCGGCGCGGTTTTGGCGCAAGGCATGGCACGGCGCGCGGTCCCGCACCCCCAGCCCCGCCAGCACAGCATGCCCAGCCCCACCCTACCCAAGACAGGGGCAGGCTAGATGAATCGGCGATGCGTCGCCGATGGATCGGCGATCGGCCCTCGATTGCGAATCCTAACGGTCGGCGATCAATGAGCGATTGGGGGTCGATGCATCCACCCCTGAGCCTATTCCCCCAAACATTGCCCAAGATCCTTCCTGTGTCCTGCTTCTTCTCCCGAGTCGTTCTTTGACGGCCTTGAGGCCCTGAAGCGGCCCCAGGCCGCTAACAACGGCGAATCACTTCCGTCGCGATTCGAGTTCGAGCCGCCAAGGGTCTCGGCCCCGGGCTCCGAAATCCGGCCTCTGGACCAATCCTGGGGCACATTCCGGCCAGACTGCCACAAAGAGCCCCCAAACATGCAAGAACATACGAAGAGTTCTGCCAGCGCGGGCCACAAACAATGGGTTATTGCATCGATGTGCGTCCTGCGTCGTGCACCACATGGAATGCAACATCTGCGCAGCGCACATCTACGTGATGCACTTATCTGGGATGCGCTCTATGCTGTGCAAACTACGCCGTGCAAGCAACGTGGTGCAATATGAGGGGCGCTTTCCCCGTGTTGCAAGCCATGTGGTACATGCCATGTGGTGAAACCTATTCGAGGCGACGACGCGGCGGCGACGGGCGGCCGATGAGTAGAAGCCCAGAAACGCCAGCAAGCGTAGGATGCGGCGACGAGGCGCTCGAGGCGCCCGACGGGCGCCCACGCCCTTCGGCCGAAAGTTTGGAGACGCGTAAGGCACTACTTGTGGAAATGTCTCGATCCTTATCCTCCTCCTTCATCTCTTCTTCCTCCTCCTCATCCTTTTCCTCCTTCTCCCCAGACAACCGACAGTGATGTTCCCCATGCGGCTCCCCAGTGGTCCGGACTCCTTCCCCAGGACCAATGCTTCATCCTGGGTCGTTGTATGACGGTCCCAGGGCCCGGTGAGGGCTGCTGGAGGCCGAGAACAAAGACCTTCCGTCGTGCTTTGTTTTCGAATATAAAAAAGATGGGAGGCCCTCATCCTCCCCCTTCCCCTCCTCCTCCTCTTCCTTCTCCACCTCCCCCCTCCCTCCTCTCCCTCCCTCGCATCCCCCTCGTTCAGCAGCGCTCGCCGCGGCCGACTAGGCCCACGCCTCGGAGGTGGTCGGCTGGCCCGCGTCTTCGGAGGCGGTGTCGACTGCTTCCATTTCCTCCAGGTCTCCCTGCGCGCAGAATGGAGGCGTTGCTGTTCTTCTATCTTCTAGTCTCCTCCAGCATCCTCCTCCTCCTCCTCCTCCTCCGCCTCCTCCTCCTTTGACGCTAGACCAACCTGAGCGTGACCGTTATGGCGTCTGTGCACACTTGCAAAACATGATGCAACCATTCAGTTGGACGACCCGGCGCAAAGAAGGGGGCCTGGCGGGCGCCGCAGAAAATGCACTAGGTAAAGAAGCTGAAGAGATGAATTCGCCGGCCCAACGGGCCAGAGCCGTGCTAAGAACTCCGGCAACTGGTTTACACTTGTCCAATTCGCCCATGTGGGGCGGCCTCTGGGGGCCCCCGAACGAAAAGTACCCGGGCACGTCCCGGCCAGGTGAGACCCGGAGATGGTTTTCCTCCTCGGCGCTGCCTTCCAAGCTTTCCCGAGCGCCCCAGGAACGCTCCAAGAGACCCCCGTGACGTGCTCGAGATGGTCCGAGGGGCCCTCGGTCGCCGTCAGACGGCCCAAGACGCCGCCAAGAAGACCCAAGAAGCCCCAAGAGAGCCTCAAGAGGCTCTCCTAGAGAGCCTCAACAAGCCAAAAGTGCCCCATTTCCTTTAGAAAACGTGGATGTTGCGCCTATCCGACGTTTCGAGGTCCAGCGCGTCCAACACTGCCCAAGAGACCTTCAAGATCGCCACAAGACGGCCCAACAGACTCCCAACATGGGCCCAACACGGCCCAAGAGGGCCCCAAGACGGCCCTCGAGGCCCCATGGACAGACCTAGACAGCCCTAAGAGGAGTCCCATCGGGGGAACTCGAATTGAACTTTCCAGCTTGCCGACCCGCACGATCGTCCCAAGACGCTCAAGATGGCCTCCAGACAGCCCAAGACGCCGCCAAGAAGCCCCAAAGAGAGCCTCAACAGGCTCTCCTAGAGAGCCTCACCAAGCAACACATATACCATCCCTTCAGAAAACATGCATGTTGCGCCTATCCGACGTTTCGAGCGCGTCCGACACTGCCCAAGAGACCTTCCTTCAAGATCGCCCCAAGACGGCCCAACAGACTCCCAACATGGGCTCAACACGGTCGAGGCCCTCTGAACAGCCCAAGACAGCCCTAAGAGGAGCCCTATCGGAGGAGCTCGAAGTGAATGTTTTAGCTGGCCGACCTGCAAGATCGTCCCAAGACACCCAAGATGGCTTCCAGACGGCCCAAGACGCCGCCAAGAAGACCCAAGAGAGCCTCAAGAGGCTCCCCTAGAGAGCCTCAACAAGCCCAAAGTGTCCCACTCCCTTCAGAAAACTTAAATTCAGCTCATCTATGACGTTTCGAGGTCCAGCGCGTCCAACACTGCCCAAGAGACCTTCAAGATCGCCCTAAGACGGCCCAACATATTCCGAACATGGGCCCAACACAGCTCAAGAGGGCCCCAAGACGGCCCACGAGGCCCCCTGGACAGCCCAAGACAACCCTGGGGGCCCCATCGGAGGGACTCGAATTTAACTTCCTAGCTTGCCGACCCGCAAGATCGCCCCAAAACGCCCAAGATGGCCTCCAGACGGCCCAAGACGCCGCCAAGAAGCCCCACGAGAGCCTCAAGAGGCTTTCCTAGAGAGCCTCGAACACCTAGAACCTCGAACAGGATCGAAATGGATCTTGCCAGGCGCCCCTCTCCCTGCAGGTCCCGCCCGCTCCCTCTTCGGTGCGGGAGGCGGAGAAGGCAGGAAGAGGAGGAGTAGGGAGGAGGAGAGAAGGGGGGGAGAACGAGGAGGGAAGAGGACAAGGAGGATGAAGAACGATGGGGGAGGAGGAGCATGCGGAGGATGAGGGACGAGGGAGAGGAAGGAGGAGGAGGAGGAGGAGGAGGAGGAGGAGGAGGAGGAGGAGGAGGAGGATCGAGATCGTATCGAAATGGCCCCAAGAGGGGCCGAAGAGCCCCCGCCATCGCCCCAGGCCGCCCAAGATGGCCTCAAGACGGCCCAATAGATCGCCAATACGGCCCAAGAGGCTCCATCTCCTCCTGCTCCTCCTCCTCCTCCTCATTCTCCTCCTCATCCCCCTTCCTCCTCCCCCTCTTCCTCCTCCTCCTCCTCCCACCTCCTCCTCCTCCTCCTCCTCGTCCTTCTTTTCCTCCTCCTCCTCTCACAAGCCGCCACCCTGCAAAACGGAAAGGCTCAAACTTGCGACGAATACGTCTAATCTGCGACATAGCCCCACAACGACCATCCAGAATCACCAACCCCTCACCGACACAAGCAAATCACCGACCAAATCCGTGATCACCCACGAATGCCCCAGGACAACCCCGCCAGAATCTGCGACGAACCCCCGAAACCAAATCCACAATCACGGCGACACCCTCGAGAATACACCCCCAAATCGACAGAGGTGCGACAGTAAGGGCCGCCGGAATGAGCGAAGCGATTACATAAAAAGAGCAATCGCCCGCCAGGCCCGCGAGGTCGGCACTGACCTTAGAGATTCAAACCCCCATTAGGTACCCCCCCCAAACCCCCCCGCTGAGTTATTATAGGTAATGCAGCCTCAGGAGTAAAAATACCAGATGATAAAAATGGTACTGCTGCCAAGACGCAGTATGGTAGTGCTCTCGGCGCGGAGCCATGTGCACTTTGTAGAAGCAACCTGTAGCAAACTGCACACCAGAGGTACGAGGACCGAGGTAAGTACAGGCTGCATGTGTCGAGCGCGTTTTGTGCAGCCAGAACGTTTGCGTTGGCAGCTTGCTCACGTAGACGTCGGGGCAGAAAGGAAGACAGAGCCTATGCACGCTGTCATGGTGACTGCGCGCGGTCCGGTAGGCTGGCCTGCGAGGTCTAGGGTGGCCCCTTCTTATGACTGCGCAACGAGATGGCAGCAGTGTTAGGCAGGCCAGTGAGAGGATAAAGCTGGCCTGAAAGGTGGTCCAGCTGAACCCAATAAAAAGATACGCGCTGCTGCACAGCCACAGCATTCCTCCTCCCCCACCAAGCTCCACCCCCACCAAGCCACCAATACGTCTTCCCAGTGTGTCGCGTGGCATGCAGCGTGAACATGATGGACCCACGAACCCGGAAAGGGATATAGACATGTGGAGCATGGACACGTTTTCATGATACCCAACTGGGCAACACCTCACGAAACATCCCACGAGACACCTCACGAAACAGCCCACGAGACACCTCACGAAACATTCCACGAGACACCTCACGAAACATTTCACGAGACACCCCGCGAAACATTCCACGAGACACCCCACGAAACATTCCACGACGACAGGCAACCACTCAACCAAGGCGGTGTGGTCGTGCTGGGGAGTGGTCGTGCTGGGGTGTGGTCGTGCTGGGGGGTGGTCGTGCTGGGGGGTGGTCGTGCTGGGGGGGTGGTCGTGCTGGGGGGTGGTCGTGCTGGGGCGTGGTCGTGCTGGGGCGTGGTCGTGCTGGGGCGTGGTCGTGCTGGGGCGTGGTCGTGCTGGGGCGTGGTCGTGCTGGGGTGTGGTCGTGCTGTGGTAAGGTCGTGCTGGGGTGCGGTCGTGCTGGGGTGTGGTCTTGCTGGGGTGGGGTCGTGCTGGGGTGTGATCGTGCTGGGGTGGGGTCGTGCTGGGGTGTGGTCGTGCTGGGGTGTGGTCGTGCTAGGGTGGGGTCGTGCTGGGGTGGGGTCGTGCTGGGGAGTGGTCGTGCTGGGGTGTGGTCGTGCTGGGGTGTGGTCATGCTGGGGCGTGGTCGTGCTGGGGTGGGGTCGTGCTGGGGTGGGGTCGTGCTGGGGTGGGTTCGTGCTGGGGTGCTCCGCACCCTGTGATTTATCGATCGGGTCGTGCTGGGGTGTGGTCGTGCTGGGGTGTGGTCGTGCTGGGGTGTGGTCGTGCTGGGGTGTGGTCGTGCTGGGGTGTGGTCGTGCTGGGGAGTGGTCGTGCTGGGGGGTGGTCGTGCTGGGGGGTGGTCGTGCTCGGGGGTGGTCGTGCTGGGGGGGTGGTCGTGCTGGGGGGTGGTCGTGCTGGGGCGTGGTCGTGCTGGGGCGTGGTCGTGCTGGGGCGTGGTCGTGCTGGGGTGTGGTCGTGCTGTGGTGAGGTCGTGCTGGGGTGTGGTCGTGCTGGGGTGTGGTCTTGCTGGGGTAGGGTCGTGCTGGGGTCGGGTCGTGCTGGGGTGTGGTCGTGCTGGGGTGTGGTCGTGCTGGGGTGTGGTCGTGCTGGGGTGTGGTCGTGCTGGGGTGTTCGTGCTGGGGTGTGGTCGTGCTGGGGCGTGGTCGTGCGGTGGGGTCGTGCATTTCGCTCGAGACATCCTGCCAAAATTCCAGGAAATCGTACAAAAACAAACGAATTAGTCGAGACATCATCGAAATTCCTTCGCGCGGGGCGCTTTTCCGCGTCGCGGTCGGCTCTGCAAAACAGCGTTTCGCTTGAGACATCCTCAGCAAATTCTGAAAACAAGCGTTTCGCTCGAGACATCCTCAACTCTGCAAAACCAGCGTTTCGCTCGAGACATCCTCAACAAATTCTGAAAAAACAAGCGTTTCGCTCGAGACATCCTCAAATTTTAATTCGCCGGCCTCCTTCGACCTCGTTATTTATCAGGGAAAAAATTCGCCGGCCTCCCTCAAGTTGGCACCGGGGGACAGGTTTACCTACTAAAAGAGAACCCTGGGCTCATGCCTTTCCGGAAAAAAGTGGCCCGCACCCTGTGATTTATCGATCGGGATTCAAAAACAAGCGTTTCGCTCGAGACATCCTCAAATTTTAATTCGCCGGCCTCCTTCGACCTCGATATTTATCAGGGAAACATGATGGACCCACGAACCCGGAAAGGGATATAGACATGTGCAGCATGGTCACGTTTTCACGATATCCAACTGGGCGACACCTCACGAAACATCCCACGAGACACCCCGCGAAACATCCTAGGAGACACCTCACGAAACAACCCACGAGACACCTCACGAAACATTCCACGAGACACCCCGTGAAACATTCCACGAGACACCCCACGAACAGGCAACCACTCAACCAGACACCCCACGAAACA